GAGAGAGAGACAGAGACAGAGAGAGAGAGATCATCCATCTACTGGCTACCACACTTGGAGCCGGCTAGGCCAAAGCCAGGGGCCGTAGCTCCATCTGATAGGTGCAGGGCCCAAGCACCCGAGCCAACCTTTGCCTCTTTCTCAGGTGCGTTATCAGGGAGCTGATTCAGAAGCGGAGCAGCCAGGATTCGAACTGGTGACCCTAAGAGATGCTAGTGTCACAGGCAGTGGCTTACTTTGCTATGCCACAAGGCCAGCCACATGTGATCCTATCTTCCTCCAGGGTTTTAAATATTTGGCATCTTTGACAGGCTTCCTTCTTTGACAGGATCAAAGCTCTAAATCAAGTATTTTTAAGCTTCAGTTGACTTTGAGATTTTCCAAGGGGGCCTCGGAGTAGCTCAAAAGAGGTAACAGGTCTTACGGAGCTAGGTAAATAAATAAGGTTTATTATATGGGGAAGATTATCGCATAATCAAACAGTCCTAAATATCCAGGCTCCATTCGTATAGATGTGGTGCTGATATGAGTGCCATAGAGTTGATACATAAAGGCCATGATTCTGGTTATGATGCTGTCTGCCACAGAAGTATCCACACTTTCTTGTTAATTTCTGATCATCAGATTTTTAACCATGGCTATTCTAAAGTGTCAGCTTTGGTTTTGATTTTTCTCTCAAAGCACTCGCAGTTGGATCCCTGGAAGAGACTCCTACAAATTCCCTGAATCCAGATTTCTGACAACTTTAAGATCAACAGAATAAAACATTTCCAAAATTTCAATAAGGAAACCCTCAAGGCTCATGCTAAGATACAGGTTGGAACAGGTGAAGGGAGATCTGTGTCTTTCCTTCGATGAAGCTAAGGTGGTCATCTTTCCAGGTGTTGAGAGAGTGAGGTTGAGGCAGATGGGAACACAGCAGACAATTGCTTCTCCCAAATGGGAAGGCAGGAGATGGGTAGGGACAAGAGGTGGAGCCCCCATCTCCAACATTTGTCCGCTAAATACGGAGAGGAGACACATGTAGTGACATGGGAGATCCCTAGCCCTGATGTAGGAGACAGAGCCATCCCTCTCCACCCTGACATTGTAGTAGGCAATAGCCATGAGGTGCAGGCTGTAGGCAGGTGGGCCTGGCCCTCAGGAGCTCTTGTTCACCTGGATGCACAGGCTCAATTGACCATTCCTAAGCTTCACGGTAGCATGACCTAGCACTCCTTAGAGCTGCTTCAGTTGTGGAGTTTCTTCGTGTCCTGAACTTGAAGATGGGAAGGAGGATATAGCTCAACCTCACTCAGCCCATTTGTTCCAGGAAAACCCTTGAAGAATGACAAAGGGACTCTTCACTCTCCATGACTGCACCCCAAACAGGTCTCTCTGCCTCCAGACACAGCAGATCTGAAATGTCTCCTTGTGTGGGACAGAAAGTGCATTCCTAGGACCATGTCTGTCTGGAGTTGCTCATCATTCATTCATTCATGATTGGATCTGCATACACAGAGGTCAGATGGTGCTTCTGCAAAGCCTGTTCCTGACAGCACCCCAGCAGCAGGCCTGGCGTGTGCCTGTTTCCCACACCCTACATTCATGTGACGCCGAGTCTCATCAGCTACGGCTTGACTGCTAGGTTGAGGAAGATAGGATCTGATTTCCTGCCTTTTCCCTCAGCAAGTGCAAGTCACGCCAGGGCATTACTCTGGATGTTTCCTGTTTGGAAAGAATGCCTTGGTTTTCACTCCACCAGCTCCTTATCAATTCGCATTCCACCCACCATCTTAAAGTTTCCACTCCCATCCCCTGCCTGGAGAGTCTTCATTGGATAGTCAAGCATTTGCTGGCGTAGTCTCTGAATAGCATTCTCTGACATTTTCCAGAGAAAGCACCGGCTCTGGCATTGCAGTGGGAAATTTGCTTAGTTCATTTTGTCTTCTCCAGTATCTGACATGAGGATAAATCTTTGCTGAATTCATAGATAAGATGAAACTCATGAATATACTCATATGTGAATTCCTTCCACTGCTTTTACACTTATCCATTTAAAAATATCTATTAAGTTGCAAGGCAAAGAGAGAGAGAGAGAGAGAGAGAAACACAATGGCCGGGGCTGGGCCAGGCAGTAGACAAGAGCAAGGAAGTCCGTCCCAGTCTCCCTTGTGGGTGGAAAGAGGCCTAAGCATTTGGGCCATCCTGCTGCTTTCCTAAATGTCTTATCAGGAAGCTGCATTGGAAGCAGAACAGCTGGGACTTGAACCAGTGCTCCCATACAGAATGCCATTGTAAGCAGTGGCACTTAACTTGCTGCATCACAATGTCAGTCTTTATACTTATTTAGATGTCTTTAGTGGAAAAAAAGTTCAGCTATGATCACTGTGGATTTTCAGATATTTTAGCTTTTAAAAATGATTTGGAATTTGTTTTGGTATGTGCATTTCGCAAATTTCATAAAATCATTTGTTAAGCAATTGGTAACATACGTGAGGTCACCCAAGTACACTCACACTTGCACTATTACCACTAAGGCCTACTGCCTCCATGGTATAATCCACTTATTCTGGGCGGGAATGGGTTGTTGTTGATTAGGATCCATCATTTTATGGGCCTATTATTTTACTTTGTGGAATTTAATGTCTCTCTTTTTTTTTTGGTTGAACAAGTTTATTGAACTTAGCAGTTCATTCTTAAATCAGAAACATAAAAGCTAATATTGTAATATTTGAAAAACAGGGAAAAGAACACAGTGCACAAGACACAATGAAAAATAAATACTTGGGTTTGTGCTTAAGAACAGGAAACCTACAGGATTTTGAAACAGCAGCATGACACTGGAGCTGTACAGAATATGGCACCATCGATAAACCTCATCAGAGTTTGTAGCTTCTGCACGCTTTCTGCTAACCAATGATAAAAGGTAGATATCCTGATATTGTGAAAACAGTTTTGACCTTGCAGACCTGCCTGTGCTTGGGCAACAGGGATGTGGCTAGTCAGGTACCATCTTGCTCAAGGAACAACCAAGACGAGGCTCTCTTGGAGCTTAACGTTTTCAAGACAAGTCTCCCCTTACTCTTTCTGTTTTCAAAAATTCCTTAGCAGGAGTGGTCCCATTTACACACAGCCCCAGGGACCAGTCAGGCAGGCTGTCCTAGGTGGCTTAGACCACAGCAGCTAAGTGGTATTGCCCATTCTCAAGAGGCAGCATAGCATTTTGTTATGATGATTCTTGACCCCCTGAACCCATGGCATGTGCTTGGCCAGCTCGCTTATACTTCCAGTGAAGACCCCAAGAAGCAGCTGAGCCCCCTGAGACCCTGAGAACAAGTTGGGTTACCTGCTCAGTGATCTTTAGCTCTTGGGAGCCACTGCACCTCCAGTCCTGAGAAATTGATCCTTGCTCCACTGACTCCTGAGAAATCATCTTTGCAGCCCTTGAACTCTGACACGGACCCTGTTGGTTCACTGGTCTGGCTTGAAATGTGCAGCACCCTGAGACATTAATAGGTGCCTTACGTACCCAACCCCAACTGGGAAAGCTGTGTTAGAACCATCAGGAGCTCCTGGGGCTTCTATATCCATCCATGGTCCTTGAGAACTGAAGGTTTGCCCATATATACAGCCAGAAGTGCCATGCCCAGAGCTGCCAGCCTGAGAGAACTGCATGCCAGCTGGCAGTGCTACCTCAAATACCTGCAGCCTAGGCCATGAGTCACCACAGGCCTTGCTACTGTTGATTAAAGCTGATGAAGCTACAAAAGACATTGTGTTAAAACATCTGCCTGGAACTGAAACTAACAGAGCTTACCCAGGACATATCACCAATAGTAAAATTTTTTAATATGAAAATCACCCTGTAAAATTGGTAGAGGCACCTGACCTGCAAGATGAGCAAATAACAGAGTGGATACATAAGAAGGATGGGCAAATAAGGCTATATCTCCAAGGGAGCAAAATACTTAGTAATAGGCTTCCACAGGAAAGTATAATCAATGAATTTCCCCAAAAGAAATTCAAAATAATGATTTTGACAAACCTCAGTGTAATACAGTGGAATGCATACGGACAATTCAGTGGCAGCCTATGGTATATATGAAAAATTTATCAGAGCTAGAAGTCATAAAAATAACAAAACAGGAATTTTGGAGCTGAAGACTTGAATAGAGGAAACCAAAAGGCTAGTTGATAGCTCAACAGCAGATGAAATGGAAAGTTTCTGAGCCCTCTGCAGAGGGTTGCGGGTTCAGGTGTCACTTTAAGTGCAGCAAACGCACAAAGAGGAATGACCTAGAGTGCCTCCCTATCTGACTCAACGCTTGGGTACCCAATATGCATCTTACAGGACACCCAGTGGTGTCTTCAGGACCACGATCGGGAGGGGCAAGGTCCAATTAGATGGTAGCAGAGGAGCAAGAAGAAAGCCCAGACATATGGACAGTCACAGGCCTCCCAGGTCTCAGGAAAGATTTGGGGTTGATTTCACAGAACCCTGGATTTTGCTGATTTCTCTGAAGCAATCCTAAACAACTTCCTGGATCTCGCTTGGCCCTTGTTCTGCTGTCAGTAAAATAGGAGTGGTCATTGCCACTGGCAGGACTGCAGGGGTCTTGGCAGCTGCAAGGGCCGTCCACCAAGTGATGACCCTGCTACCTTTCCTCCTGGAGGGGACCATTACACTGTTATTCAATCCTTTGCCCTCGTTTTGCCAGGAATGAAACAACTGTGCTTTCTCCCATGGCCATCCTCTAGCCTTGTCTTTGCTCAACATGTTATGCTGCATAGCCACAATCCTTTAGGTAGCTCTGGTCTTACCATGTCTGGCCACACAGCAGTTGCAAACGCGACCCCAGCACTGCCGCCCCCAAGGGACCAGCCACATACACACATGAAGTAACAGCTCTGCAACCAGTGCATTCCTTTCAGTACCTGCCTACCACAGCTCTGAGCCACAGTGGGCAAGTGTCAAAGGTAAAAGCAGTGGTCGTTGTGCCCACAGGTGTCCCACTCACCTGATTCCTAGTCCGACACCACATCACTGGCACCTGGTGACAAGCTGGTTGGATTAAGTTGCACAAGCCATTCATATTACACTGAAAAGCAGACATAACTATGAGCGAGCAATAGACATTGCCTCCAGAAAGCTCCCAGATTTCCATGCCCTGGGACAGCCTGAGACCAATCTCCACCCTCATCCTGGGCAGGGTACTGGTGCTCTATGTGTTTATGGGGTGCTCACTGAACACCATGTAGAGTTCTGGGATGGTGCAGGAAGTTGAAGTATTCAGGGCTGATTGAGGGGAAAGGTTCCAGGTGGAGGGATACCCGGGGGACAAATGGGCACGTCACACAGTGCACATGGGTGTGGCTCTTGGCTGGAGCTCAAGTAAGGGGAAGGGGCCTGCTTTGGGGGGATTCAGGGAGAAGCAGTGAGGGCCCCTGTGCTGTGCTGAAGAAACAGGCAGGAGTCTGAGAGCCAGGGAAGGCAAAGAGGAAGCAGCTCCTAGGCCGGAGAGAGCCCTGTGGGGCCCTGCAGCCTGGGTCCCAGGCGAGCGCAGTGGGCTGCTTAGCTCCCTGAGACTGTGGCTAGGCTTGTCTGTGTCTAGCATGGTCAGGGGACAGGCAGGCTGCCCTACAGCTGCCCTCTGAGGCTGCAGAGGAGCCGGAGGCTCCCTGGAGCCTCATCCTGTAGCAAGCTGGCCACTGGGGTCCCTTGACCCTGTCCTGGGGTTCCTGCCTGCTGCATGGCTAATCTTTGCCTCTCAGACTGGGCCAAGGGACTTCTGGGAAGAGGCAGCTCCTATACTGATGAGTGTATGTCCATCCCGGAGTGCAGTCTGCAGCTCGGGGGCTTCGGATGGCCTTGGAGGGTACTGTGTTTTGCTCCTGAGGCTGCTGTGTGGCCTGGACTCAGCAGGCCACAAGATTGGGAACAGCTGCCTTTCTGGGCAGGGTCTGTCTGGCCAGAGCTGGGTGGGCCCTTTCTATGCAGTCTACTCTGGGTGAGTTTTACTCATGCACCTGTGGGCCCAGGGCTTGGCAACTCAGTTGCTGCCAGAGCTGGGGATATTCCCCGTGACTCCAACTTAGCCCCGTGTCTAGAGCTTGGGCACTGCCAGGCAGGGGTGAGCTGGGGGCTGGTTTGGAATAGGCCTGGGGCTTGGGACAGGTTTGTATTCTCATAGCCTCTTGCCTGCATTGGCCTGGGGATTTCCCGCTCAGGGGCCCAGGTCCCTTCAGTATGTATGCCCGGCTGGCCTGGGATCATGGTGCCGTCTCACCTCTACGCCATTGGAGCATCCACAGCCACAGCAGGAGACGATCACCGTGGGGCAGGTGTTTATGGGGGGCGGGGGTGGAGGTGGTGGACACGGGTGGTCCTCTGATTCCTAGAAAGAAAAACAAACATGTGTTCCTTGTCTGTCATCCCCCAGAGCCCAGGGACAGGGATCATTGTCCCAGGACATGGCCCAGGGCTGCCCAGTCTGTGTTGGGTTGGGTGAGAGGACCCTGAGGGTCTGTACCAAGTAAAGGACACAGCCCTCCATGTGGCCCTCGCACAGCCTCCCCTGGAGATTCACGTGACTGTTCTCCAGATGTTGGCTCAGTCCCTGTATTCCTGGGTCCCCCAGGTGGCCCTTGCATGGCAAAGCATGGTCTGCATGCTGTGCTGCCCTGCAGGGGACTGAGCCAGCTGCCTGGTTCTGGATTTGCCCACAATGGCACCTTCCTGAGATCATCCACCTGGGCAGGAGATCTGTCCCACCCCACCCACCAGCCCATGCAGAACCAGGCCCACCCTCCCTGCTTCAGTCATTTGCCATGGCTTGTGGTCCCTACTCACCCATCCTAGTCCTGTGTTCATGTAGGTACAAGCACAGTGCCAGCCAGGATGCTGTTGTCTTTCTCAGCCCCACCCTCTCCAAGTGCTAACCCAGTCGTGCCCATTGGCCCTGCTAGGAGGGAGTCGTGAAACTGGTCCCCAGGAGCCCCATACTCCTGGGGTCTGCAGGTGGGACCAGGGCCCTGGAGCCCGGGGGATGCTTGTCCACAAGCCCAGTCCATCCTCTGCAGCCTACAAGGGGCCCTCCGGGATGGAGAAAAGCTCCTATGTCAGCGGGGACCATCCCAGAGCCCACCCACCCGGGTTCTCCAAGGCGTTGTGCCCTCTCTAGGGCTCAGAGTCCAGAATTGCTGGGAGCATGGAAGGAGCTGTCTGGGACATCCCTGAGAGTCCCAGGCCCTGTGGCCACCCCCAACCCCTTAGGAGGGAGATGCTGGGCCTCGGTCTCAGGATGCTGTGGCTGAGGGGTCCCTGATCTCCCCAGGCAGGGGACAACACTGACCTTTACTGGCGGCGGCTCCTTGTACCTCTAGAAAGTGAAAGACACAAACAGGGGCTGTGTAGGACTGTGCAGGCTCTGCCTGGGATCCGCACGCAGGGGGGAGGCTAGGGCAGCAGCTCAGGACATGGCCCTAGAGGTGCCCGTCTGGGCACACTACAGCTGTGGCACTGTCTCATTCTCTGCCTCCTGGAGTCTCAGGCACCATTTTATCCTTTCTTCCTGCCCACCTTTCCCCACTGCCTCATTCTGGGTCCTCAGTCCTTCATCAGGGAACTTCTCCTCCTCCCTCCCCACACGGGTCACCCCATGAACCCACACAGTGGGTGGCTTAAAGGCAACCTTGGTCTCATGGGCTGGGGTGGCCTCTCTTTGGGAACCAAGATGGGCCTTGGGCCAGAGCTCAGGTATCCCAGACCAAGTCTCTGGGATCAGACTGGGGCAGGAGGCGCTGGGGGAGGCTGGGGTAGTGTCAGGAGCAGCCATGGGAGGATAGGGTGTGTGGCTCTGCTGGCTCCTGTGATGGCCAGGGAGGTGGTGGGCAAATGGCCAGAGGCAGGCTCAGGGGCTGGGACAGGCACATGTGCCTGAGTGGGGTGGGCAGGGCTTGAGTCCTGGCTGGGCAGCATGGGACACTCACCCTGCAGCAGTATCGCCAGCAACACCACAGCAGGCAGAGGGCCAGCAGCAGGGCCAGCAGCACTATCAAGTAGATGGGAGCGTTAATAGTCACGTTGTTGTTGTTGCTGGGCTGTGGCAGTTGAGGCAGTTGAGGCAGTTGAGGCAGCAGATTCTGTCAGGGTCAAGGCCAGCAGAGGGCCTGTGTGTGCATGTCCTGCAGTGGCCACTTCCTAGCCTCTCCATCACCTACTGCCTTTCTCCCAGGGCTGCCTGTCCTCAAAGGGGGCACGGCTCAGTTAGGGGCAGGGACTGAACCTAGAGAGAGGCAGGCCCCACCACTGATGCTGCTCCCTGCCTCTGACCTGGGGCCTGGCCAAGGCAACCTGTGAGCTTCTCCAGCTTGACTGTTTTAGCTCTATCTGCCTTGGCTGAAGCCTGGAGCTTAGTGAGGACCCCTGGCTACAGGTACCAGGTGGATGAGGGTCTCTAGGAGTTTTTGTATCCCTTATCTGCACAAGGGGACACAAAATGCCCTCCTTGCGGGCGTGTGTGAGTGTAGAGAGAGAAAGAGGGAGAAAGAGAGAGAGAGCAAGAGAGAGCCTAGCGCAGTTCGGGCCATGTGGAGCGTGGGGTGGGGGCAGAGGCACCTGGCTTCCTGCTTAGTCCTCACTCCTAGGGACCTGGAGCTTCAGTCCTGGGGAACAGGTCCTCCTCTAAGCAGATACCATGCTGAGCAAGGACAGCAGGCCAGAGCAGCCTGCGCCTGGAAACCCAGGCTGGCAGAAAGTGGACCAAAGTGGAACTGGCTAGCCTCAGAGCCACAGCACTGCACCTGAAACTGTCTTTAAATACACCTGCTGTTTTGATGAGATGTTCTCCATGTGATTAGAAGGTCTAGGAGATGGAGAGGGGTGACATGAAGGCTATGAACCCTGTTACCCTGTTAAAATCAACCCAGCCAAAAGACTGCCTGGGATGAAACCCTGACTTAAATACCACACTGCTGGCGGGTCACCCGGGCTGCCCCACCCTTACTCAACACAGGTGCAAACACAGTGTGCTTCCTGCTGCCGACCTGGTTCCACATGAAGCAGCACTGGTGCTAACTTCCTGCACCAGAGCTCTCCCACGCGACCCTAGCCCTCCTACCTATTTTCTCTGTGGACCAGGTAGATTCACTGCAAATGATTTATCCCTCCAGTCCCCAATTTTCCAATGTAAACACAACTCTCATTTCTGTTAAAGGATGGAGGGAGATGCACTCTCCAGCTGCTGCGAGCAGGTTCGGAGCCTACCGCAAGCACAGATTGTTCTGTGATCACCTGGTCACTTGGGCACCTTTGGCTTCAGCTGAGTGCTTTAAGATCTCTATCTCGGGAGAAGCTGAGGCTTTAGGACCATGACAGACTATATGCACATATGTGTCCATATCTGACAATGCATGGACAGGCAGATTACAGATGTGCTCCCCAGCTGCACTGCACAGTCTTCCCTCCACCCCTACACGTGGCAATTTGGGGCATGCTCATTGCCACTTAAAAGAGTGCTCCTTCTCGCTGGAGGCAGGGGACTTCGGAAATGAGTCCCAGGATCTTGACAACAACTCCTTCTGGTAGCTTTGCCGATTAAATTTGCCAAGAAGCAGGCCCATGACCTGGGGACAAGAAGGGGTGGGCACCTCTGCTTCTACATCCCGGCCTTGGGATCAGGAACCATGCGCCATGGCTCTTACGCTTACACCCTAAAGGACAATGTGGAAAAATTTCAAACATGATTAAGGGACACTTTTTCATTGGCTTTTAGAGTTCTGAGAGCTCCCTGAAATTTGATACTGTTCTTTATTGTGAGTTCCACTCCTTTATCATTGCTGTCCAGTTTTTCTGGGTTAGCTTGCCTGAGATCTTTGCGCGCATAGCGACACCATGTGGCCATTTTATGTCCATACGCTCTGGATCTTGCTCTCAGGAAACCAGTGGCTGAGCTGTTTCTTGTATCCCAACAAGAGTGGATTATGAAACCCACTGTGAAGATGAGAGACATGTCGCTGTTCCTGTCTCTCTCAGGGACATTTCCAGAGGATTGGATGCCTCACAGAAGTGTTGGGACACAGTTCCATGGGGTCCCTAACAGAAGGATGTACCCCGCTCTTTGGCTAGGAGGACACATCTGGCTTGCACTAGAGCATGCACTGAGGGACAACCTCGCCAGGAACCTCAAACATCTGGACACCACATACCTTTGAGACACTCAAAACAGTAGTTAGTGAGCGACTGGTGACACTTACGGGAGCCACATTGACCAAGCAGCATCCTACGGACCAGACACCCCCTGGGGTGATGGACTGGGTAAAGAGTCTGAAGCTCCCCCTGCCTCTTTGGAGAAATGCCAGCAGGTGGTAAGGTCTAAGAACAACAGGTCCGAACGGTTCACTTTTTCTAGAAAGGAGTTATGCTCACTAAGGGAGCCAGAACTGAGCAGCAAGACTCTCCTGTTAAAATGACTAAAATCAGAAATTAAGTTGAAACAAGAGGAGGAGAAACAAAAGAAGGAAAAACAGCTCCGGGAAGCTTTAAAAGGACTTGGCCCAAATATTATCCCTCTTCCCTCCTATAAACCCATTTTTTTTTTCAACTCTCCCTTCACCCAAGCATGGGCAGGCCAAAAGAAAGTTACAAATAGAAAGTTTTTCTCAAGGTGAAATCCTCACTCAGGTCAAGCAGGTACCTCCAACACGCCCCACGGGGACTGCATCTCTCAACGGAGCAAGGCCCATGAACTTAAATAAACACAGCAAGCCTTACCTTGGACCATTTTGCCTTACCTGGACTGGTAATGTACCCGGCAAAATACGGTGTTTAGGTCTATGTTCTGTGTCTCTGAGATGTAAATTTTTTAGCTTTTTTTTCACCTACGAGCCAGACATTTGGAAATGCAAAGTTAGGGTTGCCCAGCTTTGTCCACATTTTTCTGCATGAATGAGTACGTATGTGTATTGTCTATTATGTCTATGTGGACACTTGTGTCTATACATGTGCTGTTTTGTTTTTTAAATATTTTCAAGGCAAAGAGACAGAGACAGAAACAGAGGCAGATCTTCCATCTGCTAGCTTACTCTCCAAACACACACGACCGCCAGGAACAGGCCAGGCAGCCTGCAGCAACTGGGATCTCAATCCAGATCTCCCAGGTACATGGCAGGGCCCAGCTGAGACTGGGATGCAGAGGGAGCAGGTGAACGACCTGGGGAGAATGCTGTTTTCCCCAGACCTCCAGGAGAGGTGTTTGAGTCTCCTTGTTCTGAGGCTAAACAGGCTCATGCCCAGACCAGGCTCACACCAGTCTAAGTGCCCAGTGTGGATCTAGATTTGATCTCCCGTCCTTGTGATCCTTTAGCATGTGACACACCTGTGAGCTGCCAGGACAGGAAACATCAAACCATCTAAGGGAGTTGGATTCCTGGACATGGCCCTCCCCTCTCACCAAAAGACCCCTGTTCAGAGACGGGCCCCTTTCTCTGAGTTGGCCCCACTTTGTCTGCAAGGGTTTTAGACCTTTGCTTTCTCAGTAACACACTGCCTGCTCATTCTCCGCCATTCTCAACTGAATCTCCTGCAGAGAAGCTAAGAACTCAGGCTGTGGTCAGGTGGCACCACAACTGCTCGAGCCACCACCTGCTGCCTGCCAGGATGGGCCTTAGAAGGAGGCTGGGAACGAAATAAACCAGAACTTGTAACCAAGCTCTCCAACAGGGGATGCTGGTGTCCCAGAGGCCCCCAATACCAGTCCCCACATGTGCCTTTGTATAATGTCTAAGGAGTACTGTGTTGACTTAGCAACACAAAAATGAAACCCAGTGTTTTTCACAGCTTACATGATGTCAGAAGAATATTAAGTGAGGCTACTTTAATACTGTTGGCTTCATGAAAAATATCTGTCTTTGGAGCTATGCAGTATCCTGACACGTACAGATTGTGAGTGGCTTGTGGTAAGGGCTGACGTTAGCTCTGAGCTCCCATTCCAGGAGCAATTCACACACTCCTGTCCAGAACTAGCAAGTGCAGTGGATGTAAATGGGGTAAGCACCTGTAAGCGGACTCTCCATAGTCTGAAGAATCTCCTAAGGTTATCTTCTTTGCAGTCATATATTCACTAGATGTGAAAGTTTCTCAACCACCAACTATGAAACACGCATTCAGAATTTTACGCTTAGATGTTTTGTTCGTAGGATGTAAAACGCACCAATTCGAAGATGCTAGTTAACATGTCCCCTTTCCACATTTAAACAATGTATTAAGAGAAGTCCTATCTTAAAAAAATGACAAAATGGGGTTAGGCTATAGAGTATTGGCTCCCAGTTGCTAAGGATTAATATGCAAGAACTAAAACAAAATCTAAGAGGAAGCAGCTGTGTGTGAAGAAGGCAAGACACACTTTCTAAACGAAGTTACGGAGCACAAGAACATCCTTTCATGGAGGGAAAAAGAAAAGGCTTCCCCCCGCCCACCCCAAAGACAATTGCTTGTTCCGGTTAAGAGATGTAGCAAACAAAATTCAGTGTACAGAGAAGGTATCTCAGGGAGTTACAAAAAGGAATGGATCTGGTGGGGAACAGAGATTACATCTGATCAAGTTGCCCAAAGTCTCAAGTCTTCTGCAGGTTGAGCCTTGGCATTGCATCCCGCTGGTACCCAGCTCAGGGCTGAGCTGGTGGGCTGGAGGATCAGGGTTATCTAACAGCCTTCCTTTGCCTTGAATAGGAAACACCAGGAGGGTTTCTTTATCTTTGGGACATCTGGCTTAGAAGACAAAGACCCTACAAGATCTTGCGCTTTTTGCCTCTAAAATTTTTTTGGTTTTGTTTCATAATAATGCTGTTTAAAAACCAAATTCTTTTTATTTATTTATTTTGAGACACACACAGAGGGAGGGAGGCAAGCAAACATTATGGAAACAAAGTTACAGTTCACCAATTCATTTCCCAAATGCTTGCAATGGTTGAGTCTGGGCAAGGGCCAAATCCAGGGGCTGGGAACTCAGCCCAGGCATCCGTTGTGGGTGACAGGCACCCAATCACCTGAGCCATCCCTCTACCTCCCAAGAACTATGACTACGAAGCCAGAGTTAGGAGACGGATTTGTGCACCAAACCCAGGTGTTCCAGTAGGGGATGTGATACCTCAGTTGGTGTCTCCAACCTTCAGGCCCCCTGGAATGATCATAGCTAACCAAGTGTTTAAACTTTTGGTAGACTTAAAAGTATCTTAAAAATAAATTTCTAAAATTAGTTATTTATTTAAACCTAGAACTAACTTTGGAATTTCTAGATGGCCCTTGAAAGTGTGTTTATATATGTGTATATATATATGAAATTAGCATTATATAACTAACACATCAACATCAATAATCTTTTAATATTTAATTATATAACATGTTAATATACAATCTAATAACAATTATTAACATTATGTATCATAAAATGTAATATAAACGTAACGTAATTATTATATATTGTTTCTCTTGTAATGTAATATCTCAATTAATGTATTACATATAATTAATGCCTGCTATGCCCCATTGTTGGCTTTAATATCTGTGTTTGTGCACAAGCAGGGCAGGGATCCCTTCTTTCAGCAAGGATGAGCTCCTGGTAGTTCAGGAAGCTGCAGAAGAGAAGGACATAGCTTCCCAAATCTCTCCCCCTTTCTTGCACACACACACACACACACACACACACACACACACACACACACACACATCTAAACTCTGCCTTTCTAATCAAAATTAAAATTTTTAAAAAGGCTCACAGAAAAACAGAAGGAAAAGGTAAGTTTTTTTTAGGTGCACAGGAGTTGAAGTCCAGGTGTTGTCTTTTGATGCTGTGTGTATCCAGGAGCTGGACAGCAGAGTCTAGACAGGAACCAACTGGCCTGGGTAAGAAGCATGAAGTGCTTCAAGTCATCCAGTCTGGCTCTGCCGAGGCAACTACAGATGAGACTCAAATGCAGCCCATCTGTAGCAAGCTGGCTTTTAAAAGCAGATAATGTTGTATGGCTTGTGAAAAATGCTGTAAATATCCAAAATGGCGCTTGGCAGAATAAAGGCTTCCCCGTCCTGCTCAATGACCTAATAGCAGGGAAAGGAGGGGTATGCCCACACAACTGCTGACTACATGATGTGAGAAAATCAAGTCTCTGGAGCCCATGCTGCAGTGCAGCAAGCCAGGCTACTGCCTGCAATGACAAGCATCCTATACTGGAACACCAGTTTGAATCCTGGCTGCTCTGCTTCTGATCCAGTTCCCTGCTTCTGCACCTGGGACAGCAGCAGATGAGGGCTCAAGTTTCTGGGCCTTTATGGGTGAACCCGGTGGCCTTCAAGACTCCTGGCTTTGGTATGGACCCACCCTCCCTAGCCACATGTGAACTAGCAGATGGAAGATGTGTGTGTGTGTGTGTGTGTGTGTGTGTGTGTGCATGACTGTCTCATTTAAATAAAATTAAAAAAAAGCTCAGATTTTTGGCATGATAATTAAGCTAATTACCGCATGAAATTGGCTTATTGCTTAAAACATTACAAGCAAGTTTAAGAATTCTACTTTGCGTCCTTTCAATGGTGTACATTTGTGTTTCCCAACACTGTGCAAGTCGGTGGCCTGAACCGCAGCCAACAGCATCCTTGATCATTCTGAAAGAAGCCACTTGCTAATGTTTGCACTCTATCCCTCTCTGCCTATTCTCTTGCTTTGCCAGAAGTAGGGCAAGTGGGACATCTCATTATCATTACCCATGTATCTTTTTCTCATCTGCAGTACATAATCACTAGAAACAACTGTGGCTACAGATACAGCATGCGCTCTTAACCTCACAGGACAAAAACATAATAAAAAAGTATAGCCAGTGTTGAAGCGTGCAGGGTTAAGCTGCTGCCTGCAATGCCAGCATCCCATGTGGGGGTACGTGTCGGTTTGAGTCCTGCCTTCCCCACTTCCAGTCCAGCTCCCTGCTAATATGCCTAGGCAAGGCAACAGAAGATGGCTCAAGTGTTTGGGTCTCTGTCACCCATGTAGGAGACTCAAACTTAATTCTTGGCCCAGGGAAGTAAATTAGTTAACACCCAATTGTAAAACCAACAAAAATACTGTAGGTGCTGAAATTTGGACTTTAGTTCCATCACGGCTGGCCACCAGGGCCAACAGCTCCTAGCCATGTACAAATAAGCCCCTGGACTGTGGACCCCAACCAACGCAGAGCAACAGGGACCGAAGGACCACTTTTCTGTCCTAGGGATGTCTCCACTTAGTGTAATCTGCTTATCTGGAGACTACGGAGGTTCTAGGTCAGCAGCTGCCTCCCTCCTTTCCTCTGGTTTCCATTCTAAAACAATATTCTTCAACCTGGTCTGGGGGTCAATGGATTTCCAGCTGCTATCTAGTCCTGTGGCCAACAGTTCCAGCAACTATGTCAGGACCTAGCTGTCCCCTGTGTAGCATTTGTGACAGCTCATGAAACACCTTTATTCCTAAGATCGCCCTCAGTCTCAGGAGAGATGGCATACCACCCATGAGGGCTGCAACAGGTTTGGCTCCTGATGTATGTATGGATGGACAGGGTCACCGAGGCGCTGAAATCTCTCGCAAGGGCAAGGTCGAGCCAAAGCGCCACCCCCATCCCAGACATATGCTCCCTGTTACACTGCCCTGGACCAAGATGCCCAGAAGCTGTGGAGCTGGGAACAGTGGGGTTAGCAGCACCTTCACTCCCAGGTGCACCTGCCTGAGCTGAGCCCTGGTTCAAACCCCAGCTAGCTACCCCTTCAGCAGCAGGAGGGAAGCAACTCAAGCTTGGAGAAAGCAGAAAGAGCATGAGGATCCTTAGAAAGCAGGAGAGGCAGGAAGGAGGCTGAGCAAGCCAAGGAATGATGGCAGATGTTTGCTACTGTGTGGAGAGGGCTGTGTGAGTTTAGGGAGAGCTCAAAAGCTAGGCATTGATTCAGAGCATATCCACTCTGACTATGGCTGGGCCAACCCTCCAGGATGCCCCCAAAGGGGACCGAGAGGTACAGAAGTTCTGGACCCTGTTGCTAGCACCTCCCCCCCACCCCCCCAGTAAACACACACACACATACACACACACACACACACTCACCCCACAGGAGCATAGGAAGAAATTGGTGGATGAGGTGCCTGCATGCTCTGGGTCCCCTCACCCCTTCTGGCCTCCCCAGGGAACATGTGCACAGAGAACAACCCCGCTTTGGTACTCACGCAGTGTTTAGTGCTCATGTTCAGTTTGTTTCCAATGAAGTTTTTGCCGTTGGTCAGGCTGACTTCAACAGAGATGTATCTAACACCCAGAAAAGAGAGGTAGTGAGAAAAGCTGAGGAGACACAAATCTTGCCCTGGGTGATACTGCAGCCCCCAGATCTCCTCATGCTCATGACTCTGCAGCTCAGCCTCTCTCCCTCACCCCTGCCCTGAGCACCGACGACTTGGGTCTGCAGAGATGATGGAGGGGATGTGGGTCAAGCCATGAGCCGCCCTCACAGGGTCTGGAGCCATCTGGGTCTGGGAGGGCTGTCCTCGTCCTCACTCTTCCCTCCTTTCCTGGTGTTCTGGCTTGGCTGCCAGGGGCGGCTGGAGCATGAGTGCCATTCCTGGGGAAATGATCTCCTGCAATCCCCACCTCCCCTCTGCTTGGGCCACTGCCCAGGATACCTTAAGAGCCACTCACAGTAACAGGTGGGAGGAGTGCCCTTATCCTGCCCTGCCCCAAGACTGACACTTCCATCCCCAGTTGAGTATACCCAACAGAGGCAAATATGAATCACTGGTTTTTCTGCACATCAGCAGGGACACTTACCGTTCAGCATTCTCTATCACTGGCACAGGGCAAATGATCTTATTTTCTTCCATACTGACGGCCTTTTCATCTAAAAACATGACAGAGGAAGAATGTCACCATGCATGTCCCTCAGCTCCATCACACTGAGCTGCCCTGGGCCAGCAGAGTCATGTTGGGCCGATGTGCCATTTGTCTGTTCCACTTTCCCCTGCTGCTCACAGGCACCTGCTGGGCACGACAGCGCCCCACGCACCCAGGAGTTGCTTCTACGTGTTCTGTAAGGAGAGGGTCAAGGCAAGGGGTGGTGGATGGCAACCACCGGCAGCAAGTGGCAGGTGGCGAGGACATCATACAGTTCCTGCTGCTGTATGCACTGTGGACTAGGCCTGAGGACCCAAGAGCCAGCTCTGTGCCTGCTTGGCTCTGACATCCCACATTGCCTGGGCTTCCTGCTACAGGTGGTAGCGAAGGCTGCAGAAGACCCTGTAGCTCTGCACTCCATGCCTCTGGGAGGATGGTCCCTTCCCTGCCTCTGCACCCTGCACAGTCCCCTAGGCTCTAGGAATGGGCTGTCTCTTCAGATGCCTGACCCTGGCTCTGCACCTGCTATGCTTGGGGAAGACCCCTTCCGATCTGCAGCCCCAGGGCTTGGTCGCAGGGCGGGAGACACTGCCACCTCTGGCAAGGGGACATCCTGTGCCTCCCAGGCTCCAGGGACATCATCTGGAGATTTCAGAATGGGGAACTTGCCCTAAGGTGTTCTTGTGATTTTTTTTTTTACAAAAGCTTATATATATATTTTTTTTCTCATCCCACTCTAGTAATTTTCTTCCATCCAATTCAAACTAAATTCAGTGTACCATGCCATAGTGAAGAGAGTTGATATCATTTAAGTTTTGATTAAGGACTGGTTTTTTTTTTTATTTATTCTCCATTGCTTTCCACACTGTAGCCCAAGACAAAGGTGCAGCTACAAGGCAAATGGTCATGTCCCTGAGGGTGTCAGGCTCTCTCCTATACAGGACACAGGTTTTGAAATTTGTCTTCTTTGTGCCTCTGTTTTACAAAAATAGCAGCCCAATGTTCTATAGAGGAAAATGTGATGAAAAGAAAACCAGCCTTTGTTACTGTATCTGAACTCCTTGCAATAAACCCCTGAGCACAGCCATTTTGGGCCCAGCCACAGATCAGGACCAAGTGCAGTTGGGATTCTGCACGTCAATCCTGGTATAGCCCACCTTGCAGAGAAAACAGTGACCCCAGGATGCCCATGGGTCCCCTCTGGGATCATCTGGAGGCCCCTCCTGGATGTTGGCTGGGCCCCGCCTTCCCCAAGCACCTTTTACCTTGGAGAGGCAGAGAGCCCTGGCAGAAGGGTCCCAAAGCCAGTGACTCCCATAGACAGGGCCACTCCCTGCCTAAGTCACCCCTGAGCAAGGGTGGTGTGTTGAGGGATACCTGACTCCCAAGGCCATGTGCACAGCTCTGTTCAGGGGGAGAGAGCCAGAGACAGCCCTGTGCATCCTGGGTGTATCCAGGGGAGGAGGTGGCTGAGACCCTCCTGGGGGTGGGGTATTGCTGGGTTTCCCAGGTGGCCCTGGAGTAGGACCCCACTGCACACAATGTCATCGGGTCAGATGAAGGCACCAAGAGGCCATGCAGGGAGCTGAGGAGGATGCACAAAGTCCCCCCACTGTCCCAGGGAAAGACCACAACCACCTCAGCCTCAAGGACAGGAAGTTGGCCTGGCCTGAGCTTCCTGAAACCACATCCTGTCACAGAAGTACCTGACTCTGAGCATTGCCGATTCAAGACCATGGCGTTCATTCATGATCCCTCCCAGCCCCACCTGGCCTACACAGAGACCTGGCTCAGGTAGTGAGGCTGCTACACAGGCTCCATCTGTGGGAGGAGGATGGGGCCTGCTCTCAGAGAGCAGGTGCTGGATCAAGGTCCTGCACCCAGTGTGTGCCTGAGCCAGGTCCCAGTGCCTAGACCGGACTGGGAAACCCTCTGAGTCCAAGGTCTGCCACCTTCCTGGGGATGCTGTGTGCATCTGGCCAGGTTCAGGGACCTGGGCTGCTGCTGTTTCCAACCTACCCAGAGATGAGAAAGCAGAGGCAGTTCAATGTCATTCTCCCTGAGGGGTGAGACTGCTCCCATGTCCTCTTGGGGTGTCAAGGGACCTGCTACACCCCTGCTTTGCACACACAGAGAGTGGTGGCTGGTATCCCAGCCAGATCCCTCCTTCCAGAGTCCACATGGCCTCTCATCACACAGCATTCACTGGGAACCACTTGCAAGGGCTGGAATCTTGGTTGGCTGCTGCCATTTGAACACCTACCCCTAAATTCAGGCTTTTGGTCTTCAATGAATTGTGTTAATAGTAATAAGAGTGTGAGAATTTAATTGAGTTAAGTATTTTGGAAGTGTGAAGTGTTTAGATGGCATAGGGTGGAGTCCCCAAGAATGAATCCTGGGCTCTTAAGGGGTTCCCAAAACACAGACACACCTCGTCTCTTTCCATGTGATGCCTGGCATCACCTGGGTCTCAGCCAGAACCTCCAGAATCATGAGTGTATCCTAAAGATAGCCTGCCTCTTGTATTTCATCACTGTAATGTAAGACTGAGAAATTCACTCTCTGCAGGGCAAGATGGTGTTAGGTGGTGACTGACCAGGGACTACCTACCCACAACATTGTTCTTGTTGATATGGAATCTGCAAATGACTTCATCCTCACTCTTTGCATTGTGAAAGCCTTGTCCAGTAATGGTTGCCTGGTAACTGTCTGCAATGGCAAAACTCAGACGTCAGAGGGATGTACAGCTAATGCTGCAACTCATCAATCTCACCATTCAGATATCACCATTCCCACTGCCTTCCCAAAACACCTGCCCAAGCCAGTAGGTACATGTGAGAAAACAGCTGTGCCCATGTCTTTCCTGTGCTCAGATGTCATGGGTGATCTGTGCTGAGCATTGAGCTGGGTACTGTTCACTGGAAGGCCCTTCTACCCCACAGGGTCTTACTCTGCAAGCCTGTGAGGGACCAACTCAGCCATGGAAGCCCTTGGCAGATCATCCAGGTTTGCGATTGTCAGGACAGGTGTGGGAGAAGCAAGTGAGGCACCTTGCATCTGCTCAGAGAAGGCATCCCAGGAGGATCTTGCCTGAGCTGCAGGTGCTGAGACCACAGCCCTGACCTCCTCCCTACTTCTTCCTGACCTTCTAGGACCACAACCCAGGAAGTCCTTCCTTCCTCTGCAGTGTCCCCCTGACTGAGCCAACACTGCAAGGGACACAAGGAATGCAGGGGCACAGCTGCTCCACAAAGATCAGACAGAATGGCTGCAAAGCATTCCAGGTACTGTCACAGCTCCCTCACCTCCCCTGCTATCTCCTTTTTCATTTCTACCCCTGAGATATCCCAAGGGACACTCCTTTGACCCAGCACCCTAGTCTCTCGGTTTAAGGAAAGAGCTCCTGTTCTTTGGTAAGAGGGAATCAAGCTCCTGTTTTGGTTTTCCTCTATTAACTGTGAGCACATGTGTGGCAGGTGGCATCTTTGGATGAACTCATCAGCTTAGGAAGCTCAGGGCAGAGCCCAGTGTGATGGTTCATTGGCTAAATCTTCTACTTGCAAGCACCAAGATCCCAAATAGGTGCCAGTTCGTGTCCAGATTGCTCCACTTCCCATCCAGCTCCCTGCTTGTGGCCTGGGAAAGCAGTCTAGGATGGCCCAAAGTCCTTGGAACCCTGTAGCCATGTGGGTGACCTAGAAGAAGCTCCTGGCTTCGGATTGGTCCAGCTGCAGCCATTCATCTGGGGCTGAACCAGTGGATGGAAAATGTTTCTGTTTCTCCTTCTCTCTGTAATTTTGGTCTGCCTTACAATAAAACTAAATAATTAAAAAAATAATATGCTCAGGGCAGAGACGGTGGGTGTGTATAGGGGTCACTTGTCAGCTGAGCTCAGCTCCCCAGGAAGGAGCGACAACTCCCCTCCCCACCTGGGCTCTGCTAAGCTCCCCAGGAATCAGCGTAGTGCAGGCGGCAGGTGTAGCAGGAACACACCCAAGAGAGAAGGCCTCACTCCCAGTTCCCTCATCACTGACGCCTCCCAACTTGTCCTTCCTGGGGAAGCTGGAGAGGGGAGCCCAGAGCCAAGGAGCGGCTGGAATGAGTGCTATCCCTGGGGAAAGGGATGCTGACGGCTTCTCTCTCCCCATGGACCGTGGTGGGCAGGTGGCAGCTGGATGCCTCCAGGGTTCTTCAGGAAGGGAGTGTGCCATCTCCTGTGGGCAGTGCGCTTAGCCTCAGTCCCCAGGGGCAGGGGCCCAGGCCTGAGGGAGAGGGTCCTCTCTGTTGGCTCCTGGTGCTGGGGGGCAGGCATTGACTCCCTGGCTACTGTGGAAGGCACATCCTGCCTGTCTCTGTAGATGCCTCTGGGCAGCTGTGCAGGTCTCTGTGTGTCACTAGGATGTGGGTGCGAAAGGCAGTGTGTCCATTGTCTGTCATTATCCACTGAGGGGCTAGCCTGGGTCTCAGCCCCATTTTGCTCGTGAGCTAACTCCCTGGACACTCCCTGTCCTGATTCAGCCCTTGTGTGTCTGGGATGAGCTCTGCCAGCTTTGCTCACTCTTGGCCTTTGTGGACTGCTTCCTCCCACCACCACCTGCTGCTGCCTTTGGCCTTTCTCAATGAATTGATTGGTCTTAGCTTTGTCATGATTCTCTCTGTTGTGAGGGTAAAAGAATGGCTCCTCTTACATATACACACGCTGTCACCCACACCATGTCCCCCTGTCGTCTATAATGACTACACACCCACTAAGAAGTCGTGTCAGCCACATGTGCACATCTACCCATACTCTACACTCAAGCACACACAATGCACTATCCATGCACTACCCACCCATGCACACACACCCCAGGACATCATGCACACCGCTTGCACCATGTACATTCTTACAGTCCTGCCTATGTGCTGGATTCTCCCCATGCTATAAGCTCGCAACAGAGGACACATATGTAGCCACACATATGCCTTGCACTCCTCACACAGGCAAAACACATGCATGTGCCACGTAACACACATCCTGCCCATACACCACATGCAGTATACACACACCACATGCACATAGAGGCACACCATACACTGCCATACACTGCCATATGAAGACACCTGTCATGCATACACCATCTACAAAACCATGCAAGTGTTACACACAGCACTCACACACCTGCACATGCATTTGTTGCACATGCTACGTATACCAACCACACATACATAAGGCACACATCAAGGGGCAATCGTCCCCCACCACACACACACAGGCCGCTCGCAGATATGTGCATATCTCATGCACACATATGTTCCTGAGCCACACCCCTCTGTGTACAGCTACGACCCCGGCTCTTACTGCCTACACACACGGATGAAGGTTCCACGGAAGTAATTTCAATGCAGGATTTTGGTCCCAACTGAAACAAAGAGGTAGGCAGGGAGCCGGGAGTGAGAACTGCACACCTACAAGCCAACCCCCCCCACCTTCCTCTTGGCCCACAGCCAGCCCCACTCACTGAGGTAGCAATGCCTTTCAGATCCTTGAATCCAGTGTCCACACCAAATGCATATTCTGGTCTGTCTGCAATGACCTCCAGCTATGAGAGAGAGGAGCTGGCTGAAGCAATGTCCCCACTACCACATCAGCCAAAGCTTTGGCGAGGCAGTAGGGCCACAAGCCTTGTTCACAGTGTCCATTCGTCTGCTTGGGGACAGTGGAACACCAGGATGCAGGGCTAGACCTGGCTGGTGACTCCAGGAAGTCCTGATTCCTCTGCTTTCCACTGCAAGGTTGGACCCAGACCAGAGCTGATTGCATCTGTAATGGCATCTCCCACTCACTTGGAGAACCCCGGAGCTGCAGGGGGTTCCTGGGGAAGCCACCATGGACACCTTCCTTGACAAAGAGTCCAGATGCCACCAGGTTTCCTGATCTGAGTTACCTGGTCTTTCTGATAGTCTTTCACACCCACAGTATAAATGGTTGCCCCCATTTGCCGAGCCTTTGCAGCCTGAAAGAAAGAAGGTTTTGAATATAAATCTCTGCAAGACTTGGAAAAGAATCCTGGTAACTGGGGAGCAGCACTCACTTCATTCTTAGACAACTCAAAGGCCTCGGGCACCAACGTCCCATCTGTCATAGCGATGATCATGCTGGCTGTCTTCTGGTCTGCACAGGGGCAAGGGACATCCTGGTTGGTCCTGTGTCAGCCCTAGAGTGCCCCAGGCTGCTAGAGCACTCCTTGGAGTGCTGCCTCATCCTCCTTGAAGCCCCTGCCTGCCTAGATCCCATCACTCCCCCCACACACACAGCCCCCAGTGTGAGAAGGGGACTTGGCCCACGCTCCTGCCACAGAGCATCTTACTAAGGTGGCCTGAACTCCACTGTGTCCCAGGCTGGACAAGCCTGGTTGCAAGGGCAGCTCATGTCACTCCTGGACAAGCACCGGAAGGTCATGGAAACAGGAAGGGGCAGCCAGAACCTCCTGGGCACTGCAGGCCCAGTGCAAGTCAGGTTCTGGCTTTGGGCTCTGGGCTCTGGGCACAACCGCAGGGATCCTGGGGGCATCCTTGGGCCCAGAGGTTCAGGACACTGGTCAGCAGTGCTCAGGCAGGGTGTCCCTGGGTTCCATCTGTCCACCCTCCCTCCTGCTCCAGGCCCTTCTCCTTCTTGACATGCTCTGGGAGCCACGGAGGTGGGGGATGGTGTCAGCTCTGGGTGGGGAGATCTGGTCCCTGAGGAAAATGAGTTAGGGAGAAAGACAAAGAGGAGGATGAGGAGGAAGGCTATGCTTTCCACACAGGACCCACAGCCTGCTCAAGGCTGCCCAGCACTGTTCTCCCTTCCTCCCACTGGTCCACATGGAGGCCAGGTGCACTCACACCCACAGACATGCATACTGTGTCCAAGGGTTGCTCAGGGCCATGCTGGGGCTCAAGGGTAGAGTGGGGAGCCCGAGACAGATGGGGACCAGGATAGAGGGGCCTGCTCCAGGAGCCAGAGGCGGGGAAGGCCCACGTGGAGACTGTGTTGCACCTGCCAGAGAGGAAGTGAAGAGGCAGCTTACCTCCAGAGTTCATTCTTTGAATCTGCTCATTTGCCTGCAAGGGAAGGAGGAGATGTTTGGGGAGGACAGCGAGGGCAGCGAGGAAGGAATGCTTTTGGGGTCTGAAATGGAGGGGCTTTCAGGGCTCCAAGCAGTCATACCCTTTTAAGTCCTTCCTGCATGTTTGTGTCTCCAGCAGGAATCACTTGCTGGAGGTTTTCCAGTCCCTTACGAATTTCTTCTCTAGGAAGTAAATAAATAAATAATAAATAAATAAGAGCAGAAAGTTGGATGGAGAAAGACTGACTGGCAAAGCAACCTCCAAGCAAACCCATAGCATTTGTATGGGGAGCAACTCCAGGGCGGAGTGTGCAGTCAGGTAGCCCTGTCACCCCACCTTTACCTTCATCAGCAGGTGAACCAGAGGCTTCCAAGGGGGCATTCCACCTTAGCCCAGTCCCTACCTTAACCTTAATGTCAGCCCTTAGTCCTAGACCTAACAGTAGTTTAACCCTAACTCCAAATGTTAACTCTAACCCTAATGTTAACATTAATCTTAACCCTAACATTAACCCTAAACCTAGTTTTAGACTTAACCCTAACTCTAATGTTAACTCCTACCCTAATGTAAACCATAAACCTAACCTTAATGCTACCTTAACCCTAACCCTAACCCTAACCCTAATGTTAACCCTAACCCTAAGTCTCCTTCACATGGGCCCTCTATCCTTCCATAGGTAAGACTCAGTTTGAAAACGGTCATGCTCACCTGTTCCCATCCCCCGGGATGGCAAACCCCTGACATTGTCTTGATAATGGATCAAGTCACCCTCTTCACCCTGTTAAAGTCCCAAATTCTGCTTAGGGAGTAACCAGAGCTCCATGACTTCATGCAGCCTTGACAGGAAGAGCTCACCTCCCCTGGGAGGTCCCTAGCCCATGTTCCTTCCCAAGGCTGAGTGTGAGCTGCTGACCCTGCTTTGGAGACTGGTGGCTCCAGGGGCAGCCTATCAGAGCTTTGTGTAAACAGGTAAAGCTCAGGTGACATCTCTTGCCAGGCCCCTGCCTGCTTCCCCGACACAGTCACACATACCAGGCTTGGCCTCAAGTCACAACATGTTTCATCAGGATAAAGCATCTCAAATCAGCCCAGTGAACACCAGGGCCCCATGACATCCTGGGCTCCCAAAGCTCTGGTAAGCTCTGGAAGCTCTGGTAGCTGAGCCTGAGACAGCTCAGCCATGATCTGCTCTGCTCAGCCTAGCAGGACTCAGGGCAGGGGCAGGGCTGGCTCCAGTGGCAGGATAGGGACAGGCAAGGGGTACCCAGGGACTGCTGAGCCAGCACAATCAGGACAACCAGAACCTGGAGCCTGAGCACGGCTACCTGCACAAGACCCTGGCTGCTTCCAATTCCCTGTCAGGTGGTTCTGGGTCACAAATCTAGACTCAATCCCAGGCCTCAGTGTGCTCAGCTCTGCTCTGGACTCAGAACTCTGAGCAGACTCCAGTGCAAACCTCCTTCACCTCCTGATGAGCCAGACACTCTGGCCTCAGCTCACTGTGGAGCCCCTGCAGCCCTCGGCTGCTGGCTGCCTCCTGAGCACCCAGCCCAGCCTGGGCTCAGGCCCTGTCTCCAAGGAAAGCAGTTTTCTTCTTCAAAGTTCCCAGTGTTTCCTCCTCATTAGATCCTGCCTTGACTCAGCACTCATCCCAAGCAGAGTTCTGGGCTCACAGGATACATTGAGGACAGGAGCGAAGGAGGCACAGGTGGGTCTCCTTCCCTTAGGACAGAGGCCTGCAAGCACAGCTGGGGGTCAAGTTTAGCACAAAAGGTCTCCTGACAACACAGGTGGACAGTGTTTCCCTAAAATCATATGTTAATGGCCAACGGATGAATGGGGAGTCTCGATCCAATTAGGTGCCCAGTGGGAGAATGTGAGGTCATGGGAGCGGGGTATGTGTGCTCTTGGAGGGCAGGTCTCCTACAAACTCTTACTGCCTCCTGGTTCTTCAGCCACCAACCTCCTTCCCTGGATGCCAGACAAGAGGGTGGCCTGATCTTGCACTGTGAATCGCCAAAAAAACATGAGCTGCAGTCTAAATTCTTTCTTGCTCCCCAAGTGGCTCCTCTCAGATATCTGCTGACATACGCACTCCCTGGGGTCTTATCAGAGCCCACGACTCCCTGGTCCTGCTTTGGGGTTCGCAGCAGCACTGACCTGTCTGAGGTGAGTGGCATGAGGGTTACGCCATCTCCGGAGTACAGAATGAAAGACATCCGCGTGTTGGGGCTAGGGAGGGAAGCAGAAGCTTGTGAGAAGCCAGGGTGCAGGTGGAGCACGGCAGCGAGGAGCCAGGAGGAGACCTGCCCACATCTCCATCCTGCCCTGTCTATTCTTCCTCCTTTCAGGCATAAGGAATGTGAGGGGATCAAGGAGGGTGCCAAGGTCTGTGCAGACCTGGGGTCCCACAGAAGTGAGCGTGCAGGGAGGCCTCCTGCTCAGTGCCTGTGGAAATGGAACTCAAGAGACGCAGCAACACACATAATAATCCACTCACATGCTTACTCACACTCATCCATACATCGGTACACACATGCACACACGCATGTGTTATACATGAGCACAACTTCATGGACACGGGAGCACACATACACACACGAATACAGAAGACTCATGCGTGTACACACACAGAGAACACACATTCACACATATACATGCATGTACACAGATTACACACACACACTCAGGCCTACACATACACAGAACATATGAAGGCACACACAGTCCTCCATGAAGGCACCTCCGACTGGCCTCTTTTCTTGTCCCTCATCTTCTCTGACCTCACTCTGCCCTTCTGCTATCCACCTCCTGTCTGAGAAATCCGATTCTTCCTTGGGAGGCATTCTCACACACATATGAGCATACCTGCTTCTGCCGTCCGTTTAGACCCTTGGTCTCCTCTATGCCATTACTATCCCCTCCCTGCTCAACGCCACTGCACCTGCTCTGGGCCACATCCATTTGACCCATGGTCATAGTCCTGTCTTCCTAGAACTCAACCTTCATGGCATTATTACCCAAGAACCTTCTGTGGCTCCCATAAGCAATCTTGGCCCCGAAGCCTGGATGGAGGAGTCTGATAGTGTTGGCCCTAAGCTGGCAGTCTCATCTCTCAGGCCTCTGGTGGGGACCCCTGTCCCCATAGCCATCAATGGCTGTAGTTACATAGTGGTGGCCCCGCTCACCTGCCATCCTCCCTGGCCACACCCCCATTGTATAGCTGTGGCCTAGGGATCCTTACTCCTCCCTCACCTTGTCAAACCTTTGTCCCTCTGCACCTCTGAGTCAGGTGTGCAGTCCCAGAGCTCCAGGCTTACCTGTGGTGAGCTCCTCCTCGCCAGGACCAGCCCTAGCACAGGAGGTCCTGGAAGGTTCACCATTTCCCTCACTCCTAGGCTGGAGCCACCCATGCTGTTTGCACCCCAGGAGACCAGTGCTCTGCCTGCAAGGCAGCCCAGAGCTCCTCACCGCAAGAATTCCCACCCTCATCTCATCCAAATTCAGCGCTCTCTGTTGGTCAGAGGAAAAGAGAGCCTGCAGGGCCCAAGGATCTTACCGTTGGAATTTCTTCACCAACTCCTCCACAAAATTGTAAATGTCTATCCAGTTGTTGTTCACGCTGCCTGACCTGAGAAGAAAGTAGAATGGAGTGTGGGGTATATGCATGATGAGGAGGAGGGTTGCAGCAGACACCCTGCCCTCTACAGCATTGCCACAGTCCTTTACCCAGTCCAGCACAGTTGAGTTCAACCCAGCAGGTGAGCTGTGAGCTAAGGAAGGGTGGACACAGCAGAGCCCACCCCACCAGGGCTGGCATCCACCCAGCTTGACTGATTCTGGATGTGAGATGGGTGAGGGTGTCCTGGCTGCTGGCCTTGGCTCTCTTGGGATCCGGATCTCTATGCAGGGGGAGGGGACAGGTACTTGGCTACTGTCTTCAGCATTCCAGGCTCAGGAGAGTCCACCCTGGTCAGTGATCCCTGGGTGACTCCTGCAGTTTTGGGCATCAGACACGTCACTTAGCTTTAAAAGCCCACTAGATGATTATGGCACTCATAGACTCTGCTCACAGCTGAAGAAATCAAGCAGAGATTTCTGGGCTCACCTAGAGCCAAACGCAATGCTGCTACCTAGCAGACGCACGACAACATATCAAAACCAAAACCAAGCAAACAAGCAAAAAACACCACAATAATTTCCACCTAAAGATACTCCACAAGGAAGAAGCAGTTGTTAGAAAGATGTGTAGACATCCATGTGGGGACCCAGAAAATGTGAACAAAGAAGCATGGCACGTCCAGAAAAACACACAGTTACCCAGAAACAGATGCTGAATGGAAGGAAACCTATGAATGAAAGAACTGAAAGCAATTCACAATACTGATCTCAAGGAAATTCAGCGAGATTCAAGAAAATACACAGACAATTCAAAGAGCTGAGAAAATTCAACCAGGATGTAGAAATCATTAAAAAAAAGACTATTCTTTTTTTGTAGCTGAAAACATTAATAAAGTTTAAAATATAATTAAAACTTTTAGCAAGTAAACAGACTAAAGGGAAAGAGGAATTTCTAATATGAGGACAAGATTTCCAAATAACCCAATCTCAAAGATAAATAAATAAAGAGAAAGGCTTTAAAAGAATGGTGAAAGTCTTGGGACCCAATGCAATGGTTCAGTGGCTGAATCTTGGCCTTGCACATGCTGGAATGCCAAATGGGCACCAATTCTTGTCCTGGCTGCTACACTTCCCATCCAGCTCCCTCCTTATGGCCTGGGAAAGCGGTAGAGCCCAAAAGCCTTGTGACCCGGTACCCACTCCAGGGTCCTGGCTTCACACTGGCTTAGATCTGGTCATTGTGGTCCTTGAGGAGTGAACCAGTAGGTGGAAGATTTTTCTTTCTGTCTTTCCTCCTTTCTATAAATCTGCTTTTTCTCAGTGGTGGTTAATGGCCTGGGTTGCATTGTATCCAGGTAGCTAATAGCTGGAGGGCATCCTGGGTCTGGTTAATGCCAAATCTGTATTAATCATACCAGTGTGCCAGCATAGATACCAAGCCTATTTTTAAAAAGATATGTGTGGGGGATGTGCTAGGTGTGTGAGCCCCAGGGGCAGGTGGTCCTACAGAGTCAGGGTCACCTGGCCTGGTGCCATGTCTGTGAGTCCTGGGTTTGGGGGGTCTGGTGGGGCCTGGGTTGGGTGAATGGTGCTGGGTTAAGCCCACTGACTGCCCAGTGCGGGGACCTGAGGGCTCATGTCTAGGATTGGTGGTCTGAGTGCGGAGTACATGTGTCAGAACTGAGCTTCCTCAGTGGAAAAGACGGAGCAGTGTACGGCATACCCAGATGTACACAGAGAATGTGGAAGCCCATCGGGGCCTGCAGTAGACATTTGGTACCATAACAGAGGAATGAGGGCAGAACAAATTGGACAACTACCCTTCAATAATAGCAAATGACTGGGCCAATGGAGACTTTAAGGTCAATTATGTCAGTCAACAGATGTTGGAAGGATTTCCTCATCCTTGGATCAGTGAGATCGACAGGATTTCAGAACTATCAAAACCACTTAAACAGAACCCTTAAAATATGCTCCACATAGGGGATCCTGGGTTGATATCGGGTGGCCGTTCACTGTCCCTGGGTACTGGGGTTTAGGGAGCTGGCTGTGGCTTCATCTCTTATTTCCTCTCTTCCCCCAGACTCAGGAAGAAGAAGAAAATGTGGAAACAATGGTCCCACTCACTTTCCCCTAACTCTCTGTCCTTCTCACCTTGATCAACTATGTAAACATCCTCAGTAATAAAAACTTTACAAAATATATCGAGAAAAGAATAGAGAAAGCCTATGAGATATTATTAAGTGAAGGAATGGGCATATTCATTATAGGTGTTCCTGATGAAAAAGAGAAGGAAAAAGAACCTATAGAATATGATCATTGTTGAAAATATTCCAAGTCTTGGAAGACATATACACATAGCTGAAACACAAAGGATCCCAACTGGACTCAATCAAAAAAAGACCTTCTCCAAGGCATTTTGTCCAAGATTAAGGACAAGGAGAGAAAAAATAAATTATATATAAAAAAATCTGTCTGGCTTCACAGCAACTTTTCAACAAGAGTCCCAAAGGCCAGAAAAGAGTGACATGAGGTATTCAAGGTCTGAAAAGAAAACATTTCCAACCAAGAATATTATATCCAGTGATGCAATCCTTGAGAAATGAAAGAAATTAATAAAGTCTTAGACAAGCAAACATTGGATTCATCAGTATCAGATCAACCCTACAAGAAACCCGGAAAGGAATACTATGTTAACAGTAGCCATGACAATACCAAGTCCACTAATGAGCGAGGACACAAAAGGAAAGAGAATCCAAACTCACCATGACAGAAAGCTCCCCAAACCCAAATAGAAATAATAGGAAAGGAAAAAAGAAGAATATATAAACCAATAAACAAGCAACCAATGAAATGACAGCTGTTCTTGTCTATTAGTGTGATGAATCTTGACTGCAAATAACTCACCAGTCAAAAGATGTAGGTTGGTTGAACGGGTAAAACAAAACCAGCCAATCAGCCAAGCAAACAAACAAAAACCTAAAAAACAAGAACCAACCACGTGCTACCTGCAAGAAACTCATCTTGACTGAAAGTGAGAGTTGGAAAAAGTGTGCAAATGGAAAACAAAAATGAGCTGGAGTAACTATATTCTTCCTTCGATATCAGACTTGAATTCAAAACCCGTAAAAAGAGACAAAGACATTCTATATTGATGCAGGTTGATTCAGTAAGGAGATATAGCAATCAAACTCACTTAGGAACCAATAAACAGAGGCTACTAGGCCTAAAGGGAGAAACAGGCTCCAATACAATGATGATGTGGACTTCAGTAGGTACTGTCACCAAAGGACAGATCATCCAGGCAGGAAACCTACACAGACAGATCCGAGATGATCTGTAGAATACATAAATTAACTGAGCAGTTACAGAACACTTTGTCCGATAGTAACAGATGCACATTCTTATCACCATATGGTGAAATTTCTAGCATGTATCATACATTGGGCCATAAATCAAGTTTTGATAAATTAAAAGAAATGATATCATGAGATACAGCAAAAGCATATTAGCAGAGAGGTTTAATAAGTGCAAGCATTTTTACTTTCAAAAAAAGATTTCTTTATTTTGTAAGTCAAGAGTTGAGAGAGAGGAGAGGGGTGTCTCATCAGCTAGTTTACCCCTCAGAGGCAACATTGGCTAGTGCTACACTAGGCTGAATCAGGATCCCAGAACTTCATCTGGGTCTCCCATGGGGTGAAGGGGCCAAACACTTGGCCCTCTCCTGCTGCCTTCCCCAGGCCACTAGCAGGGAGCTAGATTGGAAGTGGAGCAGCTGGGACGTGAACTGGTCCCATATAAGATGCTGGTATACAGGTGAAGTCTTTACCTGCTGTACCATAATGCTGGCCCTGAGGAATAATTTTTTTTAAAAAGAAGGATTTTAAGAAATGTGACAATGCGTGTTAAGAATCTCAAAATAAAATATGAATGAATCAAACCCCAAAGCAGCAGGAAGCAAGAAATATCAGGGATCAGAGTAGAAATGAAATTGAGACAAAAAACACATAATATCAACAAAATGCAAGGCTAATTATTGGAAAACATAAGTGAAATAGAAAAACCTTTCTTCAGACCAGCAAAGAAGTAAAAGAGAAAAATTCATCAAATTGAAGATGAAAAAAAGATACGTTACAACTGATACCACAGAAATATAAAGATCATAACAAACAACCATATGCTAAGAATTGGAAAACTTTGAAGAAATGGATAAATTCTTGGACTCTTACAACCTACCAAGATTAAATTATGATGTTAAAAATCTAAACACAGCTGGGCCTGGTGCAATAGCTTAATGGTTAAGGTCCTCGCCTTGAATGTGCCAGGATTCCCATAAGGACACTGGTTCTAATCCCGACAGCTCCACTTCCCATCCAGCTCCCTGCTTGTGGCCAAGGAAAGCAGTTGAAGACAGCCCAAAGCCTTGGGACCCTACACCTGTGTGGGAGACCCGGAAGAGGCTCCTGGCTCCTGGCTTTGGATCGGCACAGTACCGGCCATTGTGGCCACTTGGGGAATGAATCATCAGATGGAAGATCTTCCTCTCTGTCTCTCCTCCTCTCTGTACATCTGCCTTTCCAATAAAATAAATAAATCTTAAAACAAATCTAAACACCCATAACAAGTAATGAGATTGAAGGATTATGTAATTCTTTCATCCAGGAAAAGTCCAGTGGCTTCACAACTGAATTCTCAAAACATGTAAGTGGAATTGATTCCAATACTTTTAAACTAATTCCAATGTATTGTGAAGGACTGAAGTTTGCCAAACTCTTCTTAAGAGGCCAGCACTATTCAAATACCAAATCAAAGACACAGCACACAAAGAAATTGCCAAATCAAAGTTCTTCATAAGCATAGATGCAAAAATTCTCAACAAACCAAACCCAGCATTACACCAAAACATGTCACACATGACGACCACCACAAATGGGATTTATCCCAGACATGGAAGCAGAGTTCCACATTAGCCAGTCAAGAAAGATCATAACACATCAACAGAAGAAAGAACAAAAACCCTGGGACCATCTCAATAGATGCAGAAAGAATTTTGAGAAGATTCAATATCCTTTCATGATAAAAAGTCTTAACAAAGTAGAGACAGAAGAAACATAGCTCAAAATTGTGAAGCCTGTCTATGACAGAGGATGACCAGTGTCACACTGAAGGAGGAAAAGCTGGAAACAGTTCCTCTCAGTTGTGGAACAAAACAAGGACATCGTCACCAGTTTTACTCAACACAATGTTGGAAGTATTAACCATTGTCACGCAGAAAAATGGCAGGGCTGAAAGACGGCAAGTTCAGTGACATAGGTGCAGAAAGATAAATACTACGTATTCTTCTTCATATGAGAGGGGCTGACAAAATACCCCATACCTCAGTCTGAATACAGAATCATGGTTAGCAGAGGCTGGGGTAGGGATGAGTTCAATTTCTGTAAATATAAAGTGCTAAAAAAAATTAAAAACTGTCACACACCAAAATATTCAGTTCCAAAGCAATGCTTAGATTGACACTATCATCACACAAGGACGGATGATGTAATTATAAACTGTGAGGTTTTACCAATGGAATTCTGATGAACCTGTTTTTTTTGCTCAAAGCCTTGGCTTTTGTCTAAGTTTTGCATTGTAGACCAAATCGTCAAAGTCCTCACAAACATCTGTTACCTACTGCAGCTAATAAAGAAGCCTCACTATTTGTGATAACATGGTAAACTCAGAGAGGGTAAGGTAAAACGAAATTGGCTTGGAATAGAAAAGAAATAGTCCATCATTTTTTCCACTGGAATGAGTGGAAAGATCACTGGGCACCTGGTACACACACCATCAGTTCAGTTGAAGAGATGATGTGCTAAGGAATCTATCAGAGCACTGGGTGCCCACACCCAAAGCCTTCCTGCAGAAAATACACTGTTTGGCCTCGGAGACACCACAGGATTCTCAGGGACTCCCCACACTCAACCCAGCCAGCTGGCTTTTGGATTGGGTTTTGGAAACAGTCATTCAGTTCTGGCTCCTTGTATTCCTGGCTGGGAGCTGGGGTGAATCATTTCCAATTCTGAACCTTCCTAGCCTTGTGAAGAAGGTTCTCCTTTCACTTTGTGACCTTGCCTCAGTCTAGACCACACCCCACTTCCTCCCATGCCCTCTGTCTGGATCTAGCAGCCTCCACCCTCACCGCACACCCAGAATCTGGTGTGCCCTACCCTCCTGTCCCCTGCAGACTTTGAATCATGCCCTTCTCAATTGTGACTTTGCAGGGCAGGAATCACCACCTCTTGTTCCCCTCCAAAGACTGCTGGGCCCTCCCCTTGCAATGTATGCAGACCCTTCTCTGAGTCCCTCTTTAGAAGGCCTTTCCTTGAACACCACTCTGTCCCCGAGGATCCTGATTTATCCTCACTGCACACAGTGCTTTCCTCTGTGGTTGGTTTGTTACCCGTCTCTGTCCCAACCTGGTTGTTCCAGGATGATTTGCCTAATGCTGTTTCCTGAATCACCCACATGGCCTGACACTGACTGGCACTTAGCAGCCATCCAGAAAGACTTCTCCAGGCAAATGAATTAATCATGGGAGGATGAATGACAATATCGGCTCTTCCTGTGAATGTAGGGCCTTAGAGGACCTGGGAGTGTCTGTGTTAAATCCCTGGCTAATTGCACCGACCCCAGTCAGATGGGTTTGAAGATACCTCTCTGGCCGATGGGGACACTGGGGGACTGAGAGAAAAGGCCACTTGCTTAGATCCACATGCCTGCTGAGTGGAGTCTGGTTGACTTCAAACTCAGCTCATTCTCTTTTCTCCAAGAGTCACAGAGCCGGCACGTTCTATAGCCACATTAACACATTCCAGAAGAGAAGATCCCTCATGCTCTAATCCCTTCTCATCTAGCCAGCTCCAGAGACAAAGCCAGGCCCCTTCTCCCATGCTCCAGCCATAGTCAAGAGCAGTTGTGGAGGCCAGACCTGGGACCCAGCAGGGAAGCAGCCCAAGGATGCCTGTGGGGGACACAAGTGGGGACCTCTGACTCAGGAAGCCATCTGTTGGTCCTGTTCCAGTCCCTGACATCACTTCCAGCTTGGGAGAAAGGCAAAGACACACTTGTGGATGTTAACTCGAAGTTGACTTTGGCTGACCATGAGGGAAAACACATTAACCTCAATTTCACCAGTGCTTAGTACCTGCATTGGCAACATCAAGTGCTTAACTAATATTTCCCCTGCATATTTCTCTCAACTAACATTTCCCCACCTGTGTCTACAGCCTTTCCCTACCCAAAACAGGGCTGAGCTGGGCCTAAGAGACAAGCAACAGGGCAAGGGGCAGGAGGGTATAACTGGGTAGCAGTTGCGGGGTTCAATGAGGCTGTCAGTGCCCATCATTGCCTATCTATCCTCCATTCCAGAAGCCTTTTGCAGCCACTGTCTTCTGGCCATGCTAACTAGCAAAGAAGTAAGGCCTGGGGAGGGACTTCTCTTCCAGTGGGCAGGTGGCTTACCAGGTCCTGGACTGAGCCCATACCTTCCCAGTCCGCAATATTCTTGCAGAATTGCAACACTCAGAAGGACTCCATCTGAGACAGAGGAATGAACAACAGCCCAGGAAGCCCACATCTGGTCACCAGCACAGCTTCGGAGCCATTGCACCTGACCTCAGGAACCCACATATGGAGCCCACATACGGAGTGGATGCCTCCATGCCTCAGAGGGTCCTGAGGGTGCTGGATGAGGCTGATAAGGGCTTTGGAATCTGGAAATGTGACCACAGTGCTCTGACCCTCTTCTACTGTCACAGTTCACCCTCAGCCCCACGTGAATAGCTGAGAACAGAAGCAAGGCAAGCTCTCCAAGCACGTTGTGCCTTCTCTGAGAACCAGCACGTGCTTAACACCCAGCCCAGCTGACCCAGGGCCACACTCAGCCCCATTGCTACTCCTGGTGATAGCACAAGCATTCTCCCATGGCCCACAGATGGAAAAAGCGAGCAGGGAGTCCAGGGAACTTTAGAGACAGGGCTTTCTATGTAGCGACACTGTTGGGATGGCCAGCAGAAAAAGCTCAGCAAAATCACTGGTTGTGGGGACAACATTCCGTTATGCGCTCCTGGCAGGTGCCAAGCCACAGCTCCCGGCAGCCACTATTGTATGAGAACTGCAGTTCCAGGATCCTATCCCTGATGATGGAAGGCCAGGACAACATTCAAAATGTCTACAACACACATTTTCCCCTCCAAAGACAAGCACTAGGAAACTGGTGGCCAGTGAATCCCCTCCAACTCAAGAAACACGTTCTCTTTCCTCGAATCCAACCAACAGCCTGGTCTTACTTGAACCACTGCATAAATTATGCCTGCTTGGGCTCTGGCCTGCCCTTGACTGCTGCTCACTATGGACCATTGTGGACAGGGCAGGACGCAGTACTCACTTGTCCAAGATGATGTAGAGGTCGAAAGATCCCTGGCACTCCTGCTCATGTGATTGGCGCCAATGCTTCCCACCTGGGCCTCGGCGATGGTGTAAGAATCTGGAACTCATACCCAAGCGGTTAAAGATTTTCCAGCCAGGACGATGGTATGGGTGGCTGCCCGCTCTGAAAAGTGGCGGAAGCAGCAACAGCAGCAGAAAGAAGAGTGGGAAGCCAGGTGCACAGGGATTATGGCTGCCCATTTTCTTGGCTGTCCCTGTGATCCGACACAATCTTGGGTGGCTGCGGACTTCTCAGCCACCTTCACTTGTGTCCAGACACCTGGCCCCTCCTGTCCTGTCACCAGAGACCGCTGAAGCCTCCACGCAGTGCCTGCGGAGAGCACAGGGGCTAGGGGGAGCAGGTGTCTGTGGGGCCACCTCCTGAAAGGTACTTGCATGGCCCTTCCCCCACCCAGAGGGCGGAACTTCCAGGGGTTATGATTGACAGGTAGGTTGACATGGTGACTTTGTGACCTGCAGCTCTCCTAGTGTCTGTATATTGACAGAACTAGTGAGAGTTAGAGAATCTCTAGGGGTGGAGATGGAAGACAAGGGAGGAGGAGAAGGTGCTGGGGGTCCAGGGTGCTGAAATTGGGGAGACCCCGAGTGCCAACTTGGAAGCCCACTCAGGCTGGAAGCACCTGGATGAAATGGAGATGTTGTGTGGCCTCCAAGTCCCTTGTGAAGCAGGACAGGGTCACCCGTCTGCTGCTGAGTGACAACCACCCCACACTCAGGGACACCAAGATGACACTTGATTCTGCAGTGTCACCCACACTTCTGTCTGTGGGTCAGACACACGGACAGGGAAGAGTGGTAAGGGAGGGCCACAGTCAGGGCACAGCACTGCCATGGTCGGGGACTGGGGTCATCTGGAGGTTCACCCACTCACACACGGGCTTACAGCCAGGGTGATCAGCAGCTGGGCTCAGCTGAACCTCAGTGGAGACGCTGCAGGAGCTGCTCACCCACAGCGTGTTGGCTTCAGGGCACTAGGGATGGCCCAGGTGGGCTCTGAGCTCCCAGCTGAGCATTTGAAGATTGTGAGGTTTTCCTTTCATGACATCACGACAAAAGCCACCCAGTCTCACTTTCCTGCACACCACTGATCACCATGGTCACAGCCTCTCCAAGGTGGAAGGCAGGAAGGAGGCATGGCCAGTGTGAGAGTGGGCGTGTCCCAGCCCAACTGCCACTCATGAGGGAGGCAGCAAAGTCAGAGTGGGGACCACTGGAGACATTGCTGGGAATGCCTTAGCTTTCTCTGTGTGCACACGAGTGACATCCTACAGGTCCTTCTCCTTGATTCAAGTCTCAGACAGACATGTCAGTAGGCATAACGCTAAAAGGCCAAGGCACACGAAGCACTGGGCTGAGGGATTTCTTAGTCTAGGGTCTGCTCTCTGCTGTCACGGTGTTTGACATCACAGACCTTCTTCAATCAGTGGTGCTTCGCTCCTGATGCACTCTGACACTCACCCCCAACAGCATATTGTGGTTCTCTTGCTTTGTCTGCTTCAAGACACTTGGCAGTGCCATGATTTATATTTCTGCCTATTGCCTCAGCCACTTGCTTCTCCAAATTCTTCAAATCCATAAGTATCCCAGGAACAGCCTAAGTGTGAATTTTAATGTTTTTTGTATCAAAAGTAACTTATCTTTGTTTCCTGCTCTCCATGACTTTTTTTTTTTTTGGTCTTGTTGGATGTGAATGTGCTGCACAAAGGGTGAATCACATCCCAGGAGGGTGGAGCAGGCTAGTACCAGCTTGCATCGCCGCTACTCAGAAGGACACATTGAAAACCTATGTGTTGATTATTTCTAGAATGTTCCATGTAATGTTTTTGTGATCAAATACAGTTGATGAGAAGGATCTGGAACTGAAACATTGAAGACACAAGTGAGGCGAGGCCACTGTATAGTAAACACTGACAGTCACCAATCTTGAAAGGGAACAGAGGAAGGTAGCAGAGTGGAGGAGGAGCTGTCTCAGAGTATAGAGGAGTTCTAACAAGTTTCACCTGCTGGTGGGGAGTGCTTGAGCCGTTGGGGGTCCACGAAAGTTCCAGAGCCTTAACTTCCCTGCAAGGCTCCTCCTTCCCAGAAGAAGTCCTGGAAGAGGGTGCTGTAGTGGTGGTAGTTGGGGGAGGGGGCTGCATTCTCAGGATGCCCTCCACTGTTAGAGGATGGTCATGCAGCTCTACAGTGCTGTCCATGACAGGGGTCTTAACTTAGCAGTTCAAACCCAGATTTGTAAGTTTTTAAAAGATAATGTACACAGATATTTTTCAAGAGATCTACATAGCAGGAGAGGGCATAGAGCATTGTTGAAGGTACATGGAGCAGGGCCAAGCAAAGGCAGAGTTAACTGGAGCCTTTGACACAGAGAAAACACTGGTAGGATTGAAGAGGTTAAATTTCCAGTGACATAGTAGCCTGTGACTCCCACTTGCTATGTCAACATGCAGGGTTGCTGAGCAGAGCTGTAGGTCATAAAGTCACCATGTCGACCTTCCTGTCAATCTTAACACCAGGGAGTTTTGCCCTGGAGGGGAGGCAGCACATAGCAGCTCACCCCAGAGTCAAACGCTCATTGCTGTCTCTGTGCTTAGAGCAGACGCCTGGTGCAGGTTGTAGCACACACTGGTGACAGGGTAGGAGGGATCAAGTCCCTGGACACAGGTGGAGTTGGGCAAGAAACGAGCCACAGGTAACCAGAGGGCAGGCTCCCTGGACTTGATTCCGAGATTCAAGAGTGAGAGGGGGTCATGGAGATGATCAAGAAAACGGAGAGCCCCAGTCCCTGTGTGCCAAGCTCCCTACGCTTCTATCTGCTGCTTCTGCTGCTGTTGCTTTGTCTGCCACGAAACAAAGCTCAGAGCTTTCTGAATTTGGGCCCTCCCTGGAAATTCTTATGGTCCAGTGCCCAGGACTCCGTAAGCATCCACAACAAGGACAATGATGACCTTGACCACGGTAGCCATGATAAAGACCGCGACCAGGAGGACTTTGCAAGTGTCCCTGATGACTACAACACTGACCATGACCAGAGCTCTGCAAGTGTCCATGATGACTACAACACTTACTATGACCAGGAACCTGCAAGCATTCGTGATGACTATAACACTGACCATGCCCAAGGTTCTGTGAACAACCCTGATGACTACAACACTGACCATGCCCAAGGTTCTGTGAACATCCCTGATGACTACAACACAGACCATGCCCAAGGTTCTGTGAACATCCCTGATGACTATAACACAGACCATGCCCAAGGTTCTGTGAACATCCCTGATGACTACAACACTGACCATGCCCAGGACTCTGCAAGTGTTCCTGATGACTACAACACTGACTATGCCCAGGAGTCTGCAAATGTCCCTGATGACTACAACACAGACCATGCCCAGGAGTCTGCAAATGTCCCTGATGACTACAACACTGACCATGCCCAGGACTCTGAAAATGTCCCTGATAGCTACAACACTGACCATGCTCAAGACTCTGCAAGTGTTCCTGATGACCACAACACTGACCTTGCTCAAGACTCTGCAAGTGTTCCTGATGACCACAACACTGACCATGCCCAGGACTCTGCAAGTGTTCACAGTAGCTATGACAAGGATGACATAAATAAGTGGCATCATGTGGAACTGTTTTTGAGGATGGGACACGGAATCCAAGAGGATGTCATGCAGTACTGCGAAGGCAATTTTGACCTGTATTTTGTCGTTGACAAGTGAGTGGCTTTGCCTGTCTTGCCCCTAGCAGCCCCTTGAAGTCATAACCCCTGGTTCACTGGAGGCACAACATGGCCACCTCTCACCCTTCAGGTGGGGTTAGGAGAAATTCGTTTTTGTGGCATTCTTCATTCTTGGGTAGAGAGAAAAAAACATCCCTCACAGGGGTTCAGAATGGCACTCTGACCCACCAACAACAGGGATAGGATCCTGGAACTGCAGTTCTCATACAATAGTGGCTGCCGGGAGCTGTGGCTTGGCACCTGCCAGGAGCTCACAATGGAATGTTGTCCCCACAACCAGTGAGTTTGCTGAGATTCCTCTGCTGGCCATCCCAACAGTGTCACTGCATAGAAAGCCCTGTCTCTAAAGTTCCCTGGACTCCCTGCTCGCTTTTACCATCTGTGGGCCATGGGAGAATCCTTGTGTTATCATCAGGAATAGCAACGGGGCTGAGTGTGGCCCTGGGTCAGCTGGGCTGGGTGTTAAGCACGTGCTGGTTCTCAGAGAAGGCACAAAGTGCTTAGAGAGCTTGCCTTGCTTCTGTACTTGGCTGTGAGGTATGAAGAAGAAAAGCCTTTCCATAGGTGGACTCCTGGGGTCAAGTTCAAGGCCCCGAGGCTGTGCTGGTGACCAGATGTGGACTTCCTGGGCTGCAGCTCCTTCCTCCGTCTAGGATGTAGTCCCTCTGACCACATTCTCATTTCCCATGGATCAAAGACTATGGGGTATGGGTCCAGCCCAGCAGGTGCCAACCAAAACCACCTGCTAACTGAAAGGGAAGTCCCTTTTCCCCATTGTCTAGTCCAGGATATCCTGCGATACCCTAGAATATCTCGCCTCCTGAGCATATCCAGGGATGTTGATTTCCCCAAGGGCTTCTGGGAGGGAGGGTAGCTGGGTATGCTACGCACCACAACCTTGTTGGACCAGTCCTTCCAAATAGGGGTCCTCTCAGCTTCCACTGGCTATACCCCACTCTCCACTGCCTCAGGGTTCTAGAGTGAGACCCAGTGGAGCCCAACCCAGCTCCGGGATGGATGAGAAGGGATAGAGGCATGGGTATGCACTGTTAAAGAATAGTTATAGAGCACTTGAGGGTACCAAGCAATGTGCTTCCTCCTTTCTGACCCCCAGCACCTCTGCACACTGCCCCCTGCAGGGAGCTGAGTATTGCTTCACATTAGGGCAGGCAGCACAGTGAAGTTCACCGTGCACAGCACCAGTGCTCGGTGAGCTCACAGGCTCTGAACTCTACTGTCCAGTCTTTCTCGAGCACTCACTGCTTTCCAGCACCCTTCACAGAAAGAAGCTCCCACATCCTTCCCTGAGCCACACAGCATCCGTGACCTCCCAGCTGCCTTTCCTCAAACTGCTCAGCACTTCAGAGTCACTGGATCCCCTCACATTGGGTGGCTTTCCCTCAAGGCTCCTATGACCTGACCTCAGCCAGGGCAGACA